TGGCCCTATAATGGCAGAAATCATTGTAATAAACATTATTCTATCCCATAAAATGTCCAATGCAGCGCACAATATAAATTTAAATAAACACAATTCTCTGCGAAATAACAAGGATCAGCAGAAGCTCAGCCATTAGTTTTTAGACTTTCCAAATATTATACAGTATGACACATCTGTGTAAAATGTCTTTCTTCAAAAAAATAGACAAGCAATTAAAACAACTAACAGTTGAAAAAAATAGGGTAGAAATCACTATTAAATTCAAAGCGTCAGAGGTGTACAGCACAGAAATAGACCCTTTGATCCAACTCATTAATGCTGACCAGATATCCTATATTAATCTAATTTGATTTGCCAGCATTTGGCCTGTACGCCTCTAAACCTATCCTATTCATGTACCCATCCAGATGCCTTTTTTAATTGTTGTAATTGTACCTGCCTCCACCACTTCCTCTTTCAGCTCATTCCATACATGTACCACCCTCTGGGTGAAAACGTTGCTCCTTGGGTCCCTTCTCACCCTTAAACCTATGCCCTCTAGTTTGGACTATTGATAAAAACTATGGATGAAAACATGAGGGTAATTATTGTGATGCACCTGCTCCTGCCCTCTTGAGGGACAGTTACAAATTCTGATGTCCCTTTCATCAATGGGCATTCTTGTATCTGCAATTTGAGAGAGGGAACGATGTCCCTTCGGTAGGTTAATGCTTGCATTGACATAACGTACAAAAGTATTTTATTAAAATATGCTAAGCCTGCAACAGCTGTACAGCCTATAACAATTTCAAAGCTTTTGTCCCAGCCAGTACAATCTGATTAGAAGAGAGACATGCTTTGTGTTATAGAAGAGCTGTGTGGTCGTTCTGCTGACCTCTACTCTTCAACCCTGGGTTTCTGGTTGTGTGATCGGTAAAGACAAAGAGCAGAGGTCAGCAACATAGAGTACACAAACTGGACATTCCTGAGACTGACCAGTTCTGTGAAACTTCAGTATCCTTATAAATGAGAGAAATACATTTTTAAAAAAACAGAAAGCTTTACCTAGATTTCAAGGATAAATCAGGTTACAAGCATGGGATACAGCTCTTTAAACACAATGGCTCCCATGTAAGAATTTTGTTCTGAAAATACTGTTTATTTGTCTCTACATGATATTTAAGAATCTGAACTCTTTTACATCACACATCTCGTTCAAATTGATTAGGTACCAGGTTTTGTGCTTGTGTAGACTTGTAAAAATTCACATTTTTATGAACTTTGAAACTATTTTTACTGTAAACACTTGATCATAAAAGCCAGCAGAAATAAATTGTTAGCAGATCACACGATTGGGCATTATGTTTCCTAAAGACATTCTGTTGTAGAGTTACCCAATCAATCAATCAATCAATCTCAGAAATCGAAAGTGAAGAAATTGTTTTTGAAATTGTCCACTAAATAGTTAAATGCCAATCTTTACTGAGGTCATTTAGTGCTCAGTGTGCACAGAAAATTAAATTCTTAAACTTATTATCACAATTATCATCCTGTTCTTGATCTGCTGCTACTCCAAAAGGCCAGAAACACTGACAAATAATGGAACAGGTGAATTCAAAAATTTTCACTTCACCTTCAAGCTGTTATAAAAAGTAATAATGCAAGAAGCCACATGATAAATATTATAAATCAAAGAGTATCTTGAACATACTTCACATGAAGTAAGTATGAATTAGCACAGCGTAGGAACTTTCCTTGTCATACAGGTTTGCTATGAAATTAGTTTTGAGACCTCACAAGCTCAGCAGGTGTTGGTTTAGAAATAAACGGGATTTCTTCAGTTCGTGGGCTCACTGTACAAAGGACAACATTTATAGAACCCAATGTGCCAACAATAATTATGCTAACGATTGGAAGTCATTACGTCTGATGGATTCTGTGATCTTACATGCATGGGTCATATTTGTTTCTCTTTAGTTCTGAACTAAAGGTAGAAGGTTGGTTACTCCAGTGAGATAAATTGTAAACCAAACAATGAGTTTATTTCATATAAAATACACAACTAAGAATATGATCATTCTCATAGAGTAGTCTACCTATATTGGACAACAGATAATATCAGTACTTCACAGCCAGAAGTTCCATGATGAAGACCTGCTCATGGACTTCTTGGCCAGGAGTATGTTCACAATGTGGCCAACAGGTTAGAGTGTCAATGTAAATATTTCCAATACAATGGCCAGCAGCAACAGTGAAGACATTCCTCATTAGCCTTGTCATGGAGCCACTACTATCACTAACCACGCTTTCGGACTACAACATGCATGCAAAGTTTATGATACTGCAGCAGCTCCCACTTTTTAGGGGTTGTTGACTCATTTATCTCAATAGTTGGTGTGAAACAGATAGTGCAGCATGAACAGAATTTGTGTGTTCATTCAAACTACCATGATCAATATGTTTGTATGCAAGAAATGTGTCTTTTCTCACCCTCAGAGCAATTGACTCATAAATAATTCTAGCAGTAAGCTTTTGAGAGTGTTAAAATAAAATAGGTTGTTTATTATCACACCAATCCTGAATTTTTGAAATATGACATCCCACCCACTTGTCATGCAATTATGATTGTCCCACCCCATTTCCTAGCAGGCCTGCAGTTTCTAAGCTGACTTGATGTTTTATTTGAAAAGAAAATCTTGTAAAACTGAGCATTCTGAGTAAACTGTGGGACCTCATCAAATTTCCAAGGACTTGGTTCTCAGGTAAACTTGAAATTGGAACCTGTCGATTTGGGAAAGGGTGCAGAGAAAGTTATTCTCTCACCTTCAGGGTATTGCTGTTTACATGACTTGCAGTCAGTTTGCTAGCTTTCTGATTGAGCTGTCTCTCCACAACATCTCCTTACTATTTAGAAACCAGGCACAACAAATGCCTGTCATATAATGTGACCTGTTACAAATCCAAATTTCTATTGCAAATACTGTGTGTGCTTAGATCAAGAATATCTTGCATTGTGGATTTCACATCCTGGGAATCTGAGATAGTCAGTGTCTTTATACTTGGATAGATCCATTCAATTGATAAAACCCTTTTGAATTAATTTCAGGAAATGCTTTGAAATAACACTACTTTGGAGGATTTGTGTTATTATCCCTTTGGAGAAAGGATTAGTTCCAATATGCAAAGGACATCATGTGATCCCCAAGCAGCCATCATGTTACACTTTTGGTAATCCGTTTTAATATAAAAATTAAGTTAATGTTCAGAATATGCAGGGATGTGAAATGTGCCACCAGCATGTGGTTCAAACCTTATTCTTGTTGGGACAGCTTGAAGAACTGCCCCTTTGTCTCACCCATGTTGGAGTTCACAACAACCTGTCTTTGGCCAGAGGACTGAAGAAGAATTTACCTACTGCCCATTGATCATCACTGGACACAAAAAGAATTATGCTACATTGACATGATTAAATCAATATTTCCGTAAGTATCTGTTAAGTTGACTTAATTTAGAAAGTTTTCTTTTCTTCAAAAGTTTCAAAATCTAATTTACTGCAAACTGTACATTCAATCTTTGAATCTCTTCCCAGTAGGATAAAGAGGCCAAAATTTAATATCTATCATTCCTCTCGGTTATAGTCAAACAGGTTTGTTGTGTGATTTTTTTTAACCTTGTCCACCCCAGTCCAACACCCTCACCTCTACCTTATATCATTCCTCTCGCCATCATACGCTGGATAATCAGACTGTCAATCAAAACCGCCATGTTATATGTGGAATGTAACCCTACCCTCCCACCCAGTTATCTCAATTTTCAGTGAAAACTGCTTCTGCTCTGAGCCAATAAAACCTGTAGTTTTAGAATGCTGTACACAGTTCAGGTCTCCATTTTTAAAAAAAGGATCAGGCACTGAAGTATTAAAAACAGCTTACAAAATTTTAATGAAAACTGAGATGTTGTAACTATCAAAAAAGACTTTTTATTTGACAAACAAGTAAGGCTGAGGGTCAGCCTAAAAGTGATCATAGAAATAAAGGGATAATAGTGTGAAGCTGGAGGAACACAGCAGGCCAGGCATCATCAGAGGAGCAGGAAAGCTGACGTTTCGGGTCGGGACCCTTTAGAAAATTTTCAGAAAAGATTTTCTGAAGAAGGGTCCCAACCCAAAACATCAGCTTTCCTACTCCTCTGATGCTGCCTGGCCTGCCGTGTTCCTCCAGCTCCACATTGTGTTATCACTGACTCAAACATCAGCAGTTCTTAATATCTCTCATAGAAATAAAGGTATTTGATAGGATAGCTGTAAAAAAGGTGTTTCCATTTAGAGGAAATATCAAATATAAAATGCACGATAAGTACAAATAAGTAATTCAGGAGAAACTTAAGCCAGAATTTGGTTAGAATGTGGAACTTGTGGTCAGATAAAATAATTAAATGGAATAACATAGATACATTAAAGGAGAAAACCAGTTAAATAGACAAAAGATAATGCTAACAGGGTAAAATGAAGTAAATGGAACAAGAATACCAGAATCCCACCTGCGCCTGAAATGTATCATAATACCCCCATACAGGTTCATTAAAAATTATTGTTACCTTTCTGTCTCACCACCTCAAACCTCCTTTAAGACAGTCCTAAAATGTATCCACTTGACCATACCTTTGGACATCTGAAACTCCTAACCGGACAATTAGTTATAGTTCTACTCAAGAGTCATAGCGAACTCGAAACGTTAACTCTATTTCCCTCTCCATAGATGCTGCCACAGCTGTTAGGTTTTCCAGCTTTTAAATCAGTTATAGATGCATCCCCCTGTCTTGCAAAAACCGACTCTGGGTATACATAAACATTGAATTTATTGTTCATATTTACTCCTTTGGTTTTAATTACAATATAAACATTGGGAAAGTACTGAAAGCACAAGGAAAACGAACACATCTGTTTGGATATACGACCTGCATCAAAACCTATTCATTTCAGCACAAGAAGGAACGTTCTTTGATAATTTGCATCAACGCACCTTCTGGATGTTCCAAAACATTGCATTAAAAGCTTTTACACTGCCGATTCATGTCTTTCTCATTCATGATCTTTTTTCTTCCCCGCAACGATGCATTTGGGAAAATCAAGTGGGTTCTTGCTATCTTTCTTTCACTGAAGAGTTAGCTTTCATAACATTAAAGCTTTACAATATTCACTGATCATGGAATTTTGCAATTATTTTCTTGATGAATTTAAAGGTG